TAAGGCAAAGATGCACACTCTCGTTAACTTAAGTATCATTTACAGCTGAGCATAAGGGTTAAATTTAAATTATTTAACCTTTTGGTGCTGTATAAAAATAACATTAATTTATTATTATTATTATTGTTGGGGCAGGGAAAGTTAATTTTGTCACATTTTCAGTGTCTTTGACAAATTAATCTAAAATTGTTAAACTTGAGCTCTGATGTTCTGGACAATATTCTGTAACCGATTTCTTTCTGAAAGAATGTTGAATTCTAATAGAGTCATAGAATATATAGATCTTCAAAATAGGGGCAAGACATGTTTACTTTGTCACATCAGTTATTATAAGAGTTATTATAAGAGACTATTTCATTCTATAATCATTATTTTTAACCTATTTACGATTTCGTATCATTTTTTGTGACAATGTAAACATCAACTGATCTTAACTTGCATCAACTACATTGTCATCATGTAAAGTTTTCCCGCCTTTCAAACCAAAATCAGATATAAATAATTCGCCCAAAATTTAAAATTCCATATATTGTGACAGAATTAACCTCATTTCCCAATAACCAAGTACCTGTATTAGCTAACTATTCGAAACAACATATTTTAGGGCTATGATTGGTAGATCAACCATCAAATAATGAGTTAAAAGGTTTTTGAGGACACCTCACAGTAGAATAGAGACCTATGGTATTCTGAGTGTGACAAAGTTACCCAAATATTGCCTTGTAACCGTTCGATCCGTGCCCTTTAACCAATGTTGTATCATAATTGTTAGATTGACCTAATCTACTATATTTCAGACCAAGGAATGATATTTAGACAACTGCAGTTAACCAAGTCACACAAAATGTGACATTTGAACCATTATAATGCCTAACAACAATAGATTTTCTTTCTGAGCAGTGCATATGGGAGTATGGGTTACGTGGCTAATGTTCAGAACTTCTGAACGTGCTAGGTTGATAGATGTCAAAATTAAGCCACTATCGTCGAAAACGCTATCATTTTTGTTTACCAATATCCTCAAACTCAAATGAACGTGTCCAGATAGAAAAGTTGATGAATGGATCAACGATATTGAAGATCTGGCAGACACTGCTAAAAGGGAGACTCAAGCAGCGTATTCTGCATTCAACTATGGGTTATCTAAAAGATGGAATTATGTATGTCGAACAACACCTGGCATCAGTCAATACCTTAGGAGACTAGAATACAAAATTCAAGAATCCTCTATACCAGCAATATTGGATAGGTCTTTTGGAACCGACCAAACCAGCAGAAAACTCTTTGCATTACCAGTCAAAGAAGGAGGTCTAGGTATGTATGACCTAAGTTTGATGTCCGACCTAGAGTACAAGTATTCCTGCCAAGTAACATCAGATCTTACAGAAGCAATATACAATCAACACCCAGATTTTTATGATGATCAGGAAAAACTTGTAGAGATCAATGCCCAAATCAGAAAATCAAGGATTGAGTTTTTCAAGGAGAGAAAAGATGAGGTTAAAAAAGACCTGAATGAAACCCAAAAATTGCAATTAGATCTTACATCAGAGAAAGGGGCAAGTTCCTGGCTGTCATCACTCCCGCTCAAATCATTTGGATTCTGTCTCAACAAGCAAGAATTCAATGACGCCCTAGCCCTTAGGTACAACTTTGGAATAAAAGATGCTGCAAGAAAATGTGTATGTGGAAGTGACAACTCAATAAACCACTCATTAATATGCAAAAGGGGTGGGTATGTATCTCTTCGCCACAATTCATTGAGACATGTGTTAGCAGAGCTCTTAGAAACTGCTGGCTGTAAAGACGTTACCACTGAACCTCTCCTTATCCCTGTCAATGGGAGAGAACTTCCTGCAGGGGCCAACAAAGCAGATGGTGCTAGGTTAGATGTTAGTGCTAGGAGTATATGGAACCCATTGGAAAGGGCATTTTTAGATGTAAGAGTATTTCATGCTCAAGCTCCTTCCAATAAGGCTCTTGGATCTCCAATGAGTATGTACACTAGCCATGAGAGACAGAAGAAAAACATGTACAACAAAAGGATTGTTGAAGTAGAACATGGAACATTTACACCAATAGTCCTATCAACAACAGGTGGAATGGGAAGAGAAGTAAATACTTTTTTCAAAAAGTTAGCTGATAGAATGTCTAGAAAATCAGGACAAAGATACAGTGAGGCAATGACATTTATCAGGAAAAGAATAAGATTTGACTTATTGAGAACAACAATTATAGCTCTTAGAGGAGAAAGAGGGATAAAAAGTGGTAGCGCTGTTAAAATATCAGAACTAGATATATAAATTTAGAGCCAACAAATTGAACTGGCTACTTCTACTACTTAAAGGGTTTTTATAAAATTTACTAAGATTTTTTATTGAATTTCATATTGAATTTTTATATAGGGTCAATGCTATATTGTGTGTATATTGTTTGATTTTTTTTCTGGGAAAAAAAGGGTATTGTTGTGACAAAAAGTCTACACTAAAACATGCTTTAGTTTATATTGTGTAGTTCAAGGATATAAAATGCAGCTTCATGGTGGATATTAGAGAGCTGGCGAAAGATTATGGCCTTTGTATCAATGGTTATAATAAGCTATAAATATCTTAAACTATACAGTGCTTATTAAAGATTTCTTTATACTTCATTCTCAGATTAGATTTTAAAAATTCAAAAAGTAGGGGTTTTGTTTTCAATGTAGTCGAATTAGATAAAAAGTTACAACAAAATTTTTTTCAAAAAAACCTCAAAAGCCTATTCCCAAGATTGAAATTTGAGGTAAAATGGGTTTTTTTGGGATTGGACATCCCCTTTAGTACCATGTACTAACTGTTTTTCTGGGAAATGAGCAGCAGACCCACCACTTAGTACACAAGTACTAACTGCGTTTTGGAAGAAAATATGACCCACCCACCCAACGTCACGTCACGTACGATTCTGACCATAATGATCCCCCCCCCCCCCCCCCGTACAGACTGCAGTCATAAACACAGTCCAGTCACCAGGCGACCATGGGGACTTCTGGGGTTCAAATTTTTCCGGGTGGCCCCACCCCAGCCCTTGTAGGAGTGGGCATGTTGTATTATCAGAGATCTCAACCGCTAATTCTAAATCGTGAATAACTGTAGTTGAGACTGACTTTTTTACCTACCTCAGGGTCCAATGAGCATTAAACACGATCCTGTCCACGTAGATTTGATCGTCAAAAGTGCTTTGGAGAGCTGGACGTCTCTGAGACTTGCAATTCAACATGGTTTTGTAGAGGGTAATTCTGAGGAAAAGTTTTCAGCATTAACAGAAGATTTGAAGGATCTTTGTTTGCAGGGATCTGATCAACTTGATATTGAAGAACTTCTAGAATCCTCAGCTTATCACGATTTCAATTTTCTCGACGAGGACGGTTCTTTTAAAGACCTTGCTAAGGCTATTGTGACTAGTCTTAATGAACTTCAAACTGAAACATTAAACCAAGTTACAACGAAACATTTTCCCTCGGTCTCGGAAGCCTTGAAGAAATCGGTGATGGGCGAGGATAGGACAGTTGAAGTGGAAGAAGGAGCAGCCTTGTCAGAAATGATCTGTGAAACGTCTATTCAAGAACAAAGCACTGAATCACATGATTCTGTTAAACAAAAACAAGAACCTATCATTGATGAGGACGGTTTTCAATTAGTGCAGTCTCGAAGAAAGAGATAGTGTAGGATAAAGTCATGATCATGATCCTTAATTTTATTTGTCATTTTAATCTGAACTCGAATGCCAATTTTTTGAATTATTTTCTGTAATTTGTTCGGTTTTGGTTATGTTTTATTGAATAAAGTTGTTATTATTGGTGTCTGATATGGAATTAAATCTTCTTTCTTAAATGGAAACATTGCTATTCGGCAGTAAGTCTTTATGAATGAACTTTATCGACTCTTTTTTCGCTTACCAGGCTTAACTAGACGCACCTTATTCATTTAACGTTCGGATTGAGGAACCATTTAAAAATAGAGCCGATTTCAACGGTCGTAGTACCTTAGTTTTATTCCGAGCGTGCTAAATCATTGCTCAGATTGGGGGGTACGAGTTTCGAATAGTCATTCAGGGCCAGCTAGAGAACGGGTTAAAAAAGTCACGTGACGGTCGAGTGTAGAGTGATTAATCATCATCCGTTTTATTCATCTAGTAATATAATATACGCCCCAATTCAGGGTCAGGGTCAGGGTCAGGGTCAGGGTCAGGGTCAGGGTCAGGGTCAGGGTCAGGGTCAGGGTCAGGGTCAGGGTCAGGGTCAGGGTCAGGGTCAGGGTCAGGGTCAGGGTCAGGGTCAGGGTCAGGGTCAGGGTCAGGGTCAGGGTCAGGGTCAGGGTCAGGGTCAGGGTCAGGGTCAGGGTCAGGGTCAGGGTCAGGGTCAGGGTCAGGGTCAGGGTCAGGGTCAGGGTCAGGGTCAGGGTCAGGGTCAGGGTCAGGGTCAGGGTTAATTGTATTAAATTATATTTTCGGGGGGTCAATTGTCGGGGGGTCAATTGTCGGGGGATCAATTGTCGGGGGTTTAATTGTCGGGGGGTCAATTGTCGGGGGGTCAATTGTCGGGGGGTCAATTGTCGGGGGGTCAATTGTCGGGGGGTCAATTGTCGCCCACCCTAATATACGCCCCAATTCCATTTTGTATTTTCCATACTGATCTCATTTAGCTAAAATTAAAGGTAAATATAAAAACGAATTAGCCCTAGCACTTAGCAGCATCCCGGAGGAGTTTATAACACGCCGGCACGCTCAAGGTTATATTAAAATAACCCCTCGTGCTAAAGCACTCGAAATTATTTTCAACTTTTCCCGCGTGTCACGGGAAAAGTTGAAATATAATCCCTGTGCATGCCGGCGTTATGTATGATATAAATAAAAAATACTGATACTCAAAAAAACCGAATTCTCCAATTAACCTTCATAATAATTAATACGTACAATTAGAAAATTACGGAGCATGCAGTTTTTAAAACTTTACTATCTAAGGAAATGGCTGAAGCAGTACTCTAACTCTAACCTAAAGAAGAAGACATCCTCCAGAAAACATGCCCAACTTCCCAAAGATAGGTCCGGATAATGACAATGGCGAGGCCTCAGAACCTCCACCCACTGTTCCCAAATCACTGCGAGCAGCGCAACCACCCACCCCGCAAGACCAGGTGAGGTTATACACAACCACCCCGCAAGACCAGGTGAGGTTATACACAACCACCCCGCAAGACCAGGTGAGGTTATACACAACCACCCCGCAAGACCAGGTGAGGTTATACACAACCACCCCGCAAGACCAGGTGAGGTTATTATACACTTTGGTGCTATAATATTGACACACTTGTTGCTATAGTGATATGCAACATGAGGAATAACCATTTCAGGGGATAGCTGTTATGTTTACTCTGATGTGTTATTTAAAACATTATATAAATAACAGGTAGATATAATAACATATGTAATGAAGAAAGTAACAGGATACGATTCTAGAATCACCACTCTTCACACAGATAGTTAATTTTATGTTTTACTTGATTTGTCGTACATGTGTACATGGTGGACAATTAGTTTTACCCAGCTTTTGCTTCTTACATTTTGACACCGTGAATCTTAACTTTTTACAAAGAGAAACGATAATGTTTGTTCCAAAAATAATATTTAGTCGGTGCCTCGTTCTCAGAAACCCTCAGAATTTCACAATGTGAATTTCTATCATGTATGCAGTATCGCCAGTATGCACACTATTCAATGTATTATATCGTGCAGACAGCAGTGCTTGAGTGGACTAGTGCTGCAGTCGCTTCTTTCCTTTATCTTCACTACTAAGCTACTAATTGTCCTTATATTTCATGCATATATATTTCATGTATATATCAATTCGTTCATTAGTTCACATGTAATGATGTCTTATTTGTTTTAGTAAAATATATTAGTTTTAACGGGTCTTATACATTGTATCATACTGTAACTTAGTTAGTTGATGTGACACTTTACCACTGCCTCCCCAGCTTTAACTCTCATAGCCAGTGTAATGAGTCAAAAATGTAGCTCTAATTAATTACTCATATATATGTAGCTCTAATTAATTACTCATATATGTAGCTCTAATTAATTAGTCATATATGTAGCTCTAATTAATTACTCATATATGTAGCTCTAATTAATTACTCATATATGTAGCTCTAATTAATTACTCATATATGTAGCTCTAATTAATTAGTCATATATGTAGCTCTAATTAATTAGAGATAGGGATATATTAAAGTATATTGTAGGTATATTAAAGTATATTAAAGTATATCCCCGGGTCAAAATCGGGAAAAATCCTACATTTTAATATACTTTAATATGGCCCCCCCCTCCCCCCAGGGCGGCGTGGAAGACCGCAGTCAAACCTTTTCTCGCTGATTCTACAAGACCTTAGTGTTCGAAAATTATCGTTGAATAATTTATGTGATTTGAACTATTTAACGTTAATTGCTCAGAATAGTGTTAATGGAGAAGTATGCAAATTGCATGACTTTTGTTTCAGAAAGATTAGGGGACAGAAATGTTTACTTTCGTTTACTATCTGTTTCTTAGAGCTTTTGTTTATATATATTATATATATATAATGTAGCTCTAACTAATTGATTAATTCCCATTAATTAATTGTTATAATTATTTAATTCTATTAAGTTCTTATCTGGTTTACAGTAAACTGAGTTAGATCGTGCAGACAAATTGAGTTCCAACTAATTTATCAGTACAGTATTTGGCGTGGTATCTCATGTACACATAGCTCTACGTCAAGTTACTCACGTAGTACCTGTTCAATAGCTCAAAGGAATTTGGATAATATACCTGACAGATATTGGATAATATACCTGACAACTTTTCAACAGCACACTTCACTTGATTGCTGTATTTTCAAGTATTTGCCCTGCTTGTGCTACTCTGTCTTATCAAGTATTTGCCCTGCTTGTGCTACTCTGTCTTATCAAGTATTTGCCCTGCTTGTGATACTCTGTCTTATCAAGTATTTGCCCTGCTTGTGCTACTCTGTCTTATCAAGTATTTGCCCTGCTTGTGCTACTCTGTCTTATCAAGTATTTGCCCTGCTTGTGCTACTCTGTCTTATCAAGTATTTGCCCTGCTTGTGCTACTCTGTCTTATCAAGTATTTGCCCTGCTTGTGCTACTCTGTCTTATCAAGTATTTGCCCTGCTTGTGATACTCTGTCTTATCAAGTATTTGCCCTGCTTGTGCTACTCTGTCTTATCAAGTATTTGCCCTGCTTGTGCTACTCTGTCTTATCAAGTATTTGCCCTGCTTGTGCTACTCTGTCTTATCAAGTATTTGCCCTGCTTGTGCTACTCTGTCTTATCAAGTATTTGCCCTGCTTGTGCTACTCTGTCTTATCAAGTATTTGCCCTGCTTGTGCTACTCTGTCTTATCAAGTATTTGCCCTGCTTGTGCTACTCTGTATTATCAAGTATTTGCCCTGCTTGTGCTACTCTGTCTTATCAAGTATTTGCCCTGCTTGTGCTACTCTGTATTATCAAGTATTTGCCCTGCTTGTGCTACTCTGTCTTATCAAGTATTTGCCCTGCTTGTGCTACTCTGTCTTATCAAGTATTTGCCCTGCTTGTGCTACTCTGTCTTATCAAGTATTTGCCCTGCTTGTGCTACTCTGTATTATCAAGTATTTGCCCTGCTTGTGCTACTCTGTATTATCAAGTATTTGCCCTGCTTGTGCTACTCTGTCTTATCAAGTATTTGCCCTGCTTGTGCTACTCTGTATTATCAAGTATTTGCCCTGCTTGTGCTACTCTGTCTTATCAAGTATTTGCCCTGCTTGTGCTACTCTGTCTTATCAAGTATTTGCCCTGCTTGTGCTACTCTGTCTTATCAAGTATTTGCCCTGCTTGTGCTACTCTGTATTATCAAGTATTTGCCCTGCTTGTGCTACTCTGTATTATCAAGTATTTGCCCTGCTTGTGATACTCTGTCTTATCAAGTATTTGCCCTGCTTGTGCTACTCTGTCTTATCAAGTATTTGCCCTGCTTGTGCTACTCTGTCTTATCAAGTATTTGCCCTGCTTGTGCTACTCTGTATTATCAAGTATTTTCCCTGCTTGTGCTACTCTGTATTATCAAGTATTTGCGCTGCTTGTGCTACTCTGTATCATCAAGTATTTGCCCTGCTTGTGCTACTCTGTCTTATCAAGTATTTGCCCTGCTTGTGCTACTCTGTCTTATCAAGTATTTGCCCTGCTTGTGCTACTCTGTATTATCAAGTATTTGCCCTGCTTGTGCTACTCTGTATTATCAAGTATTTGCCCTGCTTGTGCTACTCTGTATTATCAAGTATTTGCACTGCTAGTGCTACTCTGTATTATCAAGTATTTGCCCTGCTTGTGCTACTCTGTCTTATCAAGTATTTGCCCTGCTTGTGCTACTCTGTATTATCAAGTTTTTGCCCTGCTTGTGCTACACTGTATTATCAAGTATTTGCCCTGCTTGTGCTACTCTGTATTATCAAGTATTTGCCCTGCTTGTGCTACTCTGTATTATCAAGTATTTGCCCTGCTTGTGCTACTCTGTCTTATCAAGTATTTGCCCTGCTTGTGCTACTCTGTATTATCAAGTATTTGCCCTGCTTGTGATACTCTGTCTTATCAAGTATTTGCCCTGCTTGTGCTACTCTGTATTATCAAGTATTTGCCCTGCTTGTGATACTCTGTCTTATCAAGTATTTGCCCTGCTTGTGCTACTCTGTCTTATCAAGTATTTGCCCTGCTTGTGCTACTCTGTCTTATCAAGTATTTGCCCTGCTTGTGATACTCTGTCTTATCTTCAACTAATGTGGTTTCACCTCTCTGTTTTCATCTCTGGTGCTCTTTTGAATATCTGCGGTTTCGACGACTTAAGTTTAGTGTTTGATGAGCTAAACTCAGAATGTGAGGTTTGGTGTTTGTTGGGGGCCAGGGGGGGGGGGGGGCTTTGTTTTAATTGTTGCTCTGTTGATGACATCACAGTGTAAAACTTGGATAGTGAGAACTAAAGATATAGGAACTTGAGTAGCAGTGCTAAATAGGGGGGGGGGGGGGGGGGGTGTCACGTGCTAAATAGCTCACGCCTCTGTTAACTGAGTTTCTAATTGTCATTGTGAGTACTCTGCTACTCTGTCTTATAGTATAAATGTGTAACACTAGTCGTTAGAGTTAGTAGTACTCCACTACTCTGTCTCATAGTATAAATGTGTAACACTAGTCGTTAGAGTTAAAGTAGTATTGCTTAATACTGCAGAGTCTACATACTACTACAACTGATTGTAACTGATAAAGCACTGAACCGTTGTAATTGTATTATTGCTATTGTCCAATTCCAGTTGTTTTATTTCACCTTGCTGTGAGATTCTTCACACGATATCGTTTTATTTCGTTAGCCACTATTCAGCCCCCACTAGTCATGTTAATATTGTCCATTTCTTCGCAACTTCCATTGTATAGACACAAAACCCTTTGGTTTCTTGAGTCCATGCCTAACCTTCCGAATTCCGACTCTTAATGATTCATTCACAATGTATTGGATGATTGGAGAAGCTCAGAAGCTCGGGTAAGCAGTTCTTAAAGAGGCACACTGGAATGACATCAAATAGACTTGACTTATTATTAGTAAAACTATTATATATTAGGAAAGCTCTTAATAAAAGTTCTGAGTTCTGATAAGGGGACTTCTGTAAACTGATCAAGTCTACACTTTGCATTCCGATTCGATGTAGAGTCTTTGGTACCTTGCTCTTCAAGAAAATATTTTTAATTTAATTTTCAAAATAAGAGTAAATGGTTTTTATCTTCTTGAATTTGTCAGCCACTTCGATATCTTCTCCATTAAGCAATTTGTTGGAGCTATATTTCATATCTAAAAGTTTATTTATGAATTTGTTGGTCCCTTTTGAGTCTCCTATACAATTCTATCCTTCTCCGAATAATAATTTAACGGCTTAGTGGCTCAGTTGGTTAATCCGCCTGGTATTGCTTGAGGTACCAGGTTCGATTCCCGACTCTGTCACTAGCCGTGGGGTGAGCGTCGTCGACGCTCAGCTAAGGATCCTGAGTGGTCTATGCAGCCCCCCGGTCCACTCAGCCAAATACTCGAGAAATCGGGTGTGAGGGTTAAATGAGGAGCTGCCCATTGCAGCAAAGTCTCGGGCGAAGAAAGTATGGTACACACTACCTTAACCGTCACTGGCCTAATGTATAATTGAATCCTTCGGCTTCCTGTAATTGGCTGGTTACACACTTGTGTAACAATGTGGCTGTTGGAATGTCCGAAGTAAAATAAGTGTTGAGATAAAAAAAAAAAAAAAAAAAAAATTCTTTCTGTCCCGTATACGTATTAAAAGACGATTTTGCTCTGAAGCTTTCGAAAAGCATGGAAATATCGTCATCGGCTTGTTTTGTTGCCGGATATGTCACGTGATATGATTACATTCAGCTGTTTACATGACGAGTGAGGAGATAGCTGAAACTACATTCGCACAAATTATCGGAAATAAGGTAATACACGTTGCAGTTACACAATACACATTTGTTTTTCTGCAAAGTAGTCAACTAGACTACAACAGCTAACAATTAAACAATTAACCATGAAAATTAGTTGCCTGAAATTACTGTAAACGCGCTGAACACCTTTAATAGTTCTTATCTAATTAGTTGATTGTTTATCCTTTATAGAGCAGGTTCGAACTAATGAAATTTAGTCTGGCTTGACAAATGAAGATTGTTAAGCTAACGCTCCAACTTATTGCTTTTCAACTTGGTTATAGATAACATCTAAGACTTATTTCTCTTCTGTTCTGTTCGGATTTTTTTTCATCCACCAATTTTGTGAAGCAAAAAAGTAAATGATAGTTATGGATAGACAATAGTGAAAAAGAGGGATTTCGGAGATCATTCTCTGTGGATCGAAAAATGTCGTCTGTTCTTCCTTCCTTCCTTCCATCTGTCCGTCACACGAACATTTTTGACAGCAAATTAAATTAATTATAATCGGGCGCAGTGTATATGGCCATGGTAAACACTAAATGTATCAAACTTCTCATTCTATTAGTACAGCATACAGCTAGCTGAAACATTTTGTTGATTGTGAAAGCTTGAAATGATAATCTTGCAAATTTGATTATAACACACATAACAGTCGTACAGGGGTTATATTCCTCGACGCGCGGAAAGTTGAGAATAATTTCGAGTGCGAAGCACAAGGTATTATTTTGAAAATAACGCCAACGTACTTTAGCACGAGGGTTATTTTAATATAACCTTAAGCGTGCCGGCGTTTTGTGTTATAAACTCCTCCGAAGTATTGCTAATTGCTAGGGCTAATTCGTTTTAATATTTATTTTATCGTTCATTGTAGCTATATGAGATCAGTATGGAAAATATGAAATGGAATTAGGAGTATATTATACTACTAGATATTATACTATATATATTATATATATACTACTAGATAATATAGTATGTTATAGTATATTATACTACTAGATATTATACTATATATATATAGTATATTATACTACTAGATATTATACTATATATATATACTATAAATACTACTAGATAAATAGAACTAAAGTGTTATGACAGTTGAAATTGGCGTTCTATTTATACATAGTGCCTCTATTTATACATAGTGCCTCAGTCCAAACGTTGAATCAATATCAATAAGGGGCGTCGAGTTTAGTCTGGCAAGCGAAAAAAGGTGGAGTTGATATCGTGTCATGAAGTTCATCAAACTAGACGACTATAATACATGGCTCATATCAAACAGTGCAATTGCTACGACAAAATTTACCGCACAAATGTAACCGTAAATACAAGTTCTGGAACTCGCCCAAGTAATGTAAGCAGTGTGCTGGAGCTTTGGCAGCGCCTGCAATTCAACTAATACGTACGCGTAGATCAAGTATATTCATAGTTCTTACGTTAAGTCATAGGTCACGTGACATAGGTCACGTGATGCACATCGCAGTAGTTAGTCACGTGTTTATCAGAATTGATTATTCTAACCCGGAGGTGTTTATAAGCCTAAGCACTTGGCACTAAGCAGTAAGCAGTAAGCACTAAGCAGTAAGCAGTAAGCAGTAAGCAGGGTAAGCAACGACTAAAGATTAAAGAAATGAGAAGAATTGGCCCCCCCCCCCCCAGAATTGTGCCCGTTTGCTGCATGTTCTGATCAGTTCACTTCATAGCACATATTATAATGCTTAAGATCCACGGAACCACACATACTTCATAGCACATATTATAATGCTTAAGATCCACGGAACCACACATACTTCATAGCACATATTATAATGCTTAAGATCCACGGAACCACTCGTGATTAAAATGGATTTCGATATAATATTGACTTGATGTAACTTTCATCTGTGTAGGATATAATATGAAGCTGAAAGTTAACTATACTCATGTCTTATACAAGTACAAATTCAGCTCATGACATAATGCAGTTTAATGTAATGTTAAGTTTGTGGATGAAATCTAGCGAAAACAGACGAAATTATTGTTTACTTATAATCTGTAATTGTAGATACGTAGTACGTACTACATACTACAACTAATAGTTATAGTATGTTATTAATTAAGTATAGTACATTACTTAGTACAGACTACAGTCAAACCTCTATTATATATCGTACCTCGATATACCGGGCAGCTTCCTTTCCCCAAAATAGCCAAACTGTTTGTTAATTAGCTCGTGTCGTGCAAGGAATGTGATTTATCATAGCTGATATCGCATTTGGTGGTTGAGCCCATATCGAGCTGTATTCTATCACAATTCGTGCATACATAAGATCCTAATGGTATACAAGATTTAAAGAGTTACAAATTAGAATTTTTGAATTACAATTGTAATTGTTGAAAACAATAATCACCGCGGATCACAGTCATATTTATTTTAAACATTTCTTGTGTTCATTTGAAGTTGAGGATATTGGTACAATATTAAAAACCCTATTAAATGATAGTTCGATGATGTGAACTTTGTAACACTATGAAACTATATATCTAACTAAACTAGATCATATAAACCCTCAATGGGATTCTTTCACTTCGCTAGTTTTACTGGTGCCATCAAACATCATTACTGTTGCATTAGTCAGCCAAGGTTGCGGGACCAAAATACCAAGTTTCAAGCAAGTGAAATCAAGAACTGGGTCGGGAAAGCAACCAGGTTAATAAATCTGTTTACTAAAGATAAGACTAAGGTAACAGGCCAGGAACGGTAGGGACCAGTGGTCTGCTTCTCAGATCCTTAAGTTAAAGCAGCAAACTGATAGTATATAATACACTTTACATGTAATACAACAACTACTACTACTGCTACTACTACTATAATACTATACTGTATAATATGAGACACTTTACAGGTATTTGAGAGGATGGAGAACCTCTCAATACTGGGCACTTTTCGTTTCCCCTGAGATTTGACTGTAGTATCCTTGAATATTTTTTTCTTCCTCAGGATTAATTCATTATTCGTTTCAAGGGTTATTAGATTGGGTCGTACCCTCGTATATTGACAAATAAAAAGGGCGCAGTACTATTTATTGTCATTGTAACTGATTATACCTTACAAGGTTAAAATTCTTCTTTTTAAATTGCAAGTTATTTTTTCACTTCTCTTCGCTGATTGCGTTTTCTTTCTGTCCTTGAGTTGAATATTCTTCTCCATTTGCAGAATCGAACATGTCTCTTAAATTTATCCTGGTTTTGGCTTTTAACTTTCGAAAATACGAATTGTTCAATAAAACTCCACGCAGATACCATTGCTAGTTGTGCAAATTTACTCAACCTATCACTACAGAATATCACAATATTTTGTGGTGAAATGATCATTTTAGAATAGTGATATGACAGAGGAAAGGTATCCTGTATTTCACGATGCAAATTCATCCATCAAGGTAATAATCTAGTGGGTTACCATATACCAGTAACCACCAGTAACCACTAACCACTGGTAACAACTGGTAACCCCTGGTAACCACTGGTAACCACTGGTACCGGTAACGAATAATATTTGCTATCCACTTGTCTACACCAACATAACAACTTCATATCACAGGGGAGGCACCTGCAGAGACTGGGTCACAGTGACGGGGTAAAAGCAAGCTACAGGAGGGAGAAATGGAGGAGCAGGTCCATGTCCATATCCTCCAATGGTAATGATGGTACGTCATCTCATTTTACTTTGTTAGAAACAATATTATGATTAGTTTGCACTTTGCTCGTAATCAAGAAACTGCCACAAACTGTTTAAGATATTCTGGTTTCTGTGGGCAGGGGGAACAGAAGAAATAGAATTTAAGTCGTTGGAGTCCATCTTCAACTTCGTTAGGGTTCCTTAATATTGATTAAGATTTCTCTTCTTATACTTTCCTAATGGTTTTTGCTTCACGATTAAGCGAAAATTTACCAGTATAAGTAGTTCTCAAAAACTTGAGTGCTAAAACTTTAGGCTGAATATATATCTTAATAAATTAATGAATTATAATTAGTAACTCTGATAATATATTCCCTACAATCGCAGTGTCATCATCTGGATCAGTATCCTCTCGCTCGAGCTTCAGTTCAGAGAGCGGGTCTAGTGACGAGGAGGAGGACGCTAAGTTCGACCCCAGGTCAGTAAGCACTCTGCTAATAGAGTATGGCTAATCATCAGTTTTTTAATTAGTTCAATTAGATAATTGATCACTTCATTAATTCTAGATCTGGTTCAATGTGCTGCTAACGTTCTTGTTTCCAGAGAGCGGGAGCAGAAGAATTCAGCAGGTCAGTCTGATTTCTGTGTGAGGAACATAAAACTAGCAACTTTCGGGAGACGTGAGATTGAGATAGCACAGGAGGTTTGTTACAAGTAATGTATTGCTTGTATTGCAGTTATATTGCTTCAGCAAGTTCTTGCTACAGTACTTTTTAAAATGTAGATACTATATAGTATATTATACAATATACAGGGTGCTCCGCATAAAATGTGACTTTTTTCCATTTTTATAATTTTTGACAAAATCAAAGTCCACGGTTATTTTTAACTACATTTTGTCACAAATATAGTTGGATTGATAATAATAATGAAAAATATTGTTAATAGTTAAGCATCTGCTCAAAAATCCACCCAATTACATATTGTAGTCTTAAATTGACATTATTTATGGCAGAGGTCAAAAATTTCAAAATCTAATTAAAACGTTTTAAAGGCCTTTCTCACAGTTCTGCTTCTTAATGATCCCTAAAACATATCTTGAAAGTTTCAGGGCGATTGATCAAAAACTGTAGAAGCAAAAACAATGTTAGACTCTATTTTCACTACGCGATATAAACTGTAGAAGCAAAAACAATGTTAGACTCTATTTTCACTACGCGATATAAACTGTAGAAGCAAAAACAATGTTAGACTCTATTTTCACTACACGATATAAACTGTAGAAGCAAAAACAATGTTAGACTCTATTTTCACTACGCGATATAAACTGTAGAAGCAAAAACAATGTTAGACTCTATTTTCACTACGCGATATAAACTGTAGAAGCAAAAACAATGTTAGACTCTATTTTCACTACGCGATATAAACTGTAGAAGCAAAAACAATGTTAGACTCTATTTTCACTACACGATATAAACTGTAGAAGCAAAAACAATGTTAGACTCTATTTTCACTACGCGATATAAACTGTAGAAGCAAAAACAATGTTAGACTCTATTTTCACTACGCGATATAAACTGTAGAAGCAAAAACAATGTTAGACTCTATTTTCACTACGCGATATAAACTGTAGAAGCAAAAACAATGTTAGACTCTATTTTCACTACGCGATATAAACTGTAGAAGCAAAAACAATGTTAGACTCTATTTTCACTACGCGATATAAACTGTAGAAGCAAAAACAATGTTAGACTCTATTTTCACTACGCGATATAAACTGTAGAAGCAAAAACAATGTTAGACTCTATTTTCACTACGCGATATAAACTGTAGAAGCAAAAACAATGTTAGACTCTATTTTCACTACGCGATATAAACTGTAGAAGCAAAAACAATGTTAGACTCTATTTTCACTACACGATATAAACTGTAGAAGCAAAAACAATGTTAGACTCTATTTTCACTACACGATATAAACTGTAGAAGCAAAAACAATGTTAGACTCTATTTTCACTACGCGATATAAACTGTAGAAGCAAAAACAATGTTAGACTCTATTTTCACTACGCGATATAAACTGTAGAAGCAAAAACAATGTTAGACTCTATTTTCACTACGCGATATAAACTGTAGAAGCAAAAACAATGTTAGACTCTATTTTCACTACTCGATATAAACTGTAGAAGCAAAAACAATGTTAGACTCTATTTTCACTACGCGATATAAACTGAAAGCAAAAAAAATGTTTTGACTCTTTTTTCCTAACCATAAAACGTAAACAAAAAAAACAATTTAGACCCCATTTTCACTACGCGAAATAAAACACGAGAACAAAACAATGTTAACTCATTTTTACTACCAATAAACTGAAAAAGCAAAAACAATTTAGACTCATTTTCACTCCAATAAACTTGAACAAAAACAAATTTAAACCATTTTTACACCAAAAAAATAAAAAACAAAAACAATTTAGTCCCCTTTTTCACACGCGATAAAACGTAGAACAAAACAAAGTTTGATCTATTCACCGGAAAAAAAGAAACAAAAAAAAAAGTTTTGACCTATTTTCACTAAAGAAATAAACGTAAAGCAAAAACAAGTTAACCTATTTTCACTACGCGATTAAACGGGAAACAAAAACAAGAATCTATTTTTACTACGCATAAAAACTGTAAAGCAAAACAATGTTAGACTCATTTTTTCCCACCGATATAAACTGAAACAAAAAAAAATGTTAACCTATTTTTACTACGCGAAAAACGTAGAAGCAAAAACAATGTTGACTCTATTTTCCTACCGGGTAAAACGTAGAAGCAAAAACAAGTTAGACTCATTTTCACAAACCCATTAAACTGGAAAAACAAAACAATGTTAAACCCATTTTTTCCCACGCGTATAAACGAGAAGCAAAAACAAAGTTTTGACCCTATTTTTTACAAAGCGATATAAACTTGTAAAGCAAAACAATTTAGACCTATTTCAACCCCAAAATAGGGCTGTAGAATCAAAAACAATTAATCAATTTTATTTCGCAATAAATTTGAAGCCCAAAAACAAGTTAGACTTTTTTCACTACCAAAATAAAAGTAAAAAAAAAAAATTTTAATCTATTTCATCGCGTTAAAAATGTGGCAAACAATGAGAACTCTATTTTCACTACGCGATATAAACTGGGGGGCAAAACGTTGCTCATTTTCACTACCGAATAAACTTTAGAAGCAAAAACAATTTTGACCATTTTTTCACCAAATTTAAATGTAAACAAAACATTAACCAAAACTACCATAAAACTGAAAAACCCAAAAACAAAGTTAACTCAATTTTCCCCCCCCTACGGAATATAAAGTAAACAAAAACCCTTAACCTAAAATACAAGAAAAAAACGTAAACAAAAACAAAGTTACTTAATTTACTCCATATAAAAGTTTTAAACAAAAAAAATTTGACCTATTTTCCTAGGTAAAAACTAAAAGCCAAAACAAGGTTTTCCCCTATTTTCCTAGCAAAAAACTAAAAAAGAAAAAATGGGTTATCTTTTTTCAAATACCTTTAAAATTTTTGAAAACAAAAACAATTAGACCCTAAAATTTTCCTAACATATAAACTTTTTAAACCAAAAAAAATTTTAAAAACTTATTTTCACTCGGTATAAACTTAAAACAAAAACAATGTTAAAAACTTTTTTTTCACTAAAGCGAATAAAACTGTAGAAGAAAAACCAATTTTATTAAATAAATTTCAAGGTATAAAACCGTTTTCCCGTAAACCCCTAAAATCCCTTTGGAATAAAATTTTATGAGGCTAACCTTTTAAAAAATTCCTAGGAAACAAATTTTTTTCTTTTTGTAACCCTTTTCCTGTTTTAAGTTGGGGCCAAAATCAGGGTTTTTCAAAAGCGGGGTTTATTTTTGATTTTTTTAAAAATTTGGATATGGAATCCCTAACTTGGCCAACTTTTACGATTTTGGGGAACCCCTACATTAAATATTTTTAAAATTTGAAAAAAATTTTAAAAAATAAAAACCCTTTTAAAAAAAAATTCCAAAAATTCCCCTTGATTTTTTAAAAGTAACCCAGAAAATCCTGGGGGGAACCGTATTTCCTTTGGTGTTACCCACAAACCACAGAACGCCGGGGTTTTAATGGAACATTTAAACCCGGGGCCTTTTGGGCACTAAAATTCTTATTCCTTGGCCTATTTTCTGCTGATTTGATGGCCATTAAAGCATTTGAACCAGTCAAAAACTTTTAAGTTGTATAATATCTTTTACGGTTTTTGCGGAAACTCGTGTTAAAGTGGTACAGATATATAATATACTGGGTGGCCAAGAAGTAACTATCCACACGCAACCCTTTAATAACTCACGTAATTACAGGGTGGCCAAGAAGTAACTATCCACACGCAACCCTTTAATAACTCACGTAATTCGTATCAGAATTGCTTGGAAATTTCAGAGAATTATATAGATATGGGTAAAACTTAGATTTCCTGAAATTTCATAAAATTTCATCTATTACAGAGGGTGTGGCACGCCACTTCTTTATTGTCACCATAAAGTGAGAACGTTTTGAGTCAGGAACTCCAAAAATTTCCGGACACATTTGGTTTGATAGTTGAAGTGCTTTCCTAAAATTTCAAGTTGGTTGTTTACAACTACGCCGAGTTATGACCCTTTTAAGATCTTACGGATACGTGATCTCGGCACTTAATCAGTGATTTTGTCACTCAATCATTATGAAATTTTCAGGAAATCTAAGTTTGACCCATATCTATTATCTATATTCTCTGAAATTTTTTAGCAATTCTGATATACATTATATAATATTTGATATACAGTATTTTGAAATGTAATTATAATTTATCTATAATTTAAAACAAAAATCGAACTGTTTGACCAATTTGTTAGATTTTAAGGGCCATCCAAAATCCCCCCCCCCCCCCCCCCCCCCCCAGTAAAGTAATGTAAAATGATAATAATAATAATTATTGTTTTAGAGCGGGTTGAATATTTACGCCTGGAAGAACATGACGGAGAAAGGTTTCTGGTGGTGTATAGACCAGTGTGTAGCAGCAGACTTCCCTTCTGAGACGGCTACTGGTGAGTCACCTAGTTTAGGGAGTAGCTAATAAACATAGTACATAGTCACCTAGTTTAGGGAGTAGCTAATAAACATAGTACATAGTCACCTAGTTTAGGGAGTAGCTAATAAACATAGTACATAGTCATCTATCTTTGTTGTTCCGTTATTTTACCTTGATGATAATAATAGCTGGTGTTAAAACACTAGTTAAAGTTGGAATGATGTTTCTAACGTGAATCTTCCGTTCTAGATTCCGGATGTGACATAATGATCTTAAATACCATAATAACGTGCACAAGTATAATGAAATTTGTATGATAACATTAGGTGGGTCGCTGTGATGATAGTAGTTCTAATGATCAATAATTGATTTTTTTTATAGTAATTCTTCATATTGCAAATTATTTGCAATATGAAGAATTACTATATAAAAACCTGGTAAAACTTAGAATTTTTAATCTTGATATTAGGATTATCCTCATTAATAAAACTAAGGAGTAAGGATTCTGCGTACCTAACATAATTGAACACGATATTAATTAAATTTAAGATGAAATTTTATACCAGACTGAAAGTGTGTGTAAAGACTGAAAGTATTCGAGATTTTAAATTTACTTAGTTCTTTAGTTCACTTAACTGATTGGTTACACTGCTGCAGCTGGAAGAAATTTGTTAATTACTAAATTAAGAGTGTCCGAGTAATACCGGAGCATCCCTCAATATTTTAATACAACAGCCGTACACTGTGCAGCAATACGCCGAGCTTCACCGGTAACATGGTAACCAGATCATGTGTTGAAATGTGTGACTGGTAGGACGAATATAATTTAATTACCCAGCACAAGGACGGGGGGGGGGGGATCAGGTACAAGGAATGTATTGATAATAATGAGGAATAACACCTGTTCTAATAACACATTGACTCTTAGCTTACCTTGCAGTTGAAGGAGAAGGAGTTAACTTAGCTTACCTTGCAGTTGAAGGAGAAGGAGTTAACTTAGCTTACCTTGCAGTTGAAGGAGAAGGAGTTAACTTAGCTTACCGTGCAGTTGAAGGAGAAGGAGTTAACTTAGCTTACCTTGCAGTTGAAGGAGAAGGAGTTAACTTAGCTTACCTTGCAGTTGAAGGAGAAGGAGTTAACTTAGCTTACCTTGCAGTTGAAGGAGAAGAGTTAACTTAGCTTACCTTGCAGTTGAAGGAGAAGGAGTTAACTTAGCTTACCTTGCAGTTGAAGGAGAAGGAGTTAACTTAGCTTACCTTGCAGTTGAAGGAGAAGGAGATAACTTAGCTTACCTTGCAGTTGAAGGAGAAGGAGTTAACTTAGCTTACCTTGCAGTTAGAGGAGAAGGAGTTAACTTAGCTTACCTTGCAGTTGAAGGAGAAGGAGTTAACTTAGCTTACCTTGCAGTTGAAAGAGAAGGAGTTAACTTAGCTTACCTTGCAGTTGAAGGAGAAGGAGTTAACTTAGCTTACCTTGCAGTTGAAGGAGAAGGAGTTAACTTAGCTTACCTTGCAGTTAGAGGAGAAGGAGTTAACTTAGCTTACCTTGCAGTTGAAGGAGAAGGAGTTAACTTAGCTTACCTTGCAGTTGAAGGAGAAGGAGTTAACTTAGCTTACCGTGCAGTTGAAGGAGAAGGAGTTAACTTAGCTTACCTTGCAGTTGAAGGAAAGGAGTTAACTTAGCTTACCTTGCAGTTGAAGGAGAAGGAGTTAACTTAGCTTACCTTGCAGTTGAAGGAGAAGGAGTTAACTTAGCTTACCTTGCAGTTGAAGGAGAAGGAGTTAACTTAGCTTACCTTGCAGTTGAAGGAGAAGGAGTTAACTTAGCTTACCGTGCAGTTGAAGGAGAAGGAGTTAACTTAGCTTACCTTGCAGTTGAAGGAGAAGGAGTTAACTTAGCTTACCTTGCAGTTGAAGGAGAAGGAGTTAACAAGAACGTGTGGGCTAACATGATCCTAGATGACGGAGGAGATCTGACACATCACCTTTACAAAAACTACCCTGACAAGTTCAATAACATATCTGGCATAGTTGAGGAGAACATAGCAGGTAACAAAGGGGTCAGTAAGGGCTTACTATTTAATACCATAAAATCAGTAAGGGCTCACTATTTAATACCATAAAATCAGTAAAGGCTTACTATTTAATACCCTCAAATCAATAAAGGCTCACTATTTGATACCCTCAAATCAGTAAGGGCTCACTATTTTATACCCTCAAATCAGTAAAGGCTTACTATTTAATACCCTCAAATCAGTAAAGGCTTACTATTTAATATCCTCAAATCAGTAAAGGCTCACTATTTAATACCATAAAATCAGTAAAGGCTCATTATTTAATACCCTCAAATCAGTAAAGGCTTACTATTTAATATCCTCAAATCAGTAAAGGCTTACTATTTAATACCATAAAATCAGTAAGGGCTCACTATTTAATATCCTCAAATCAGTAAAGGCTCACTATTTAATACCATAAAATCAGTAAAGGCTCATTATTTAATACCATCAAATCAGTAAAGGCTTACTATTTAATACCATAAAATCAGTAAAGGCTTACTATTTAATACCCTCAAATCAGTAAAGGCTTACTATTTGATACCCTCAAATCAGTAAAGGCTCACTATTTGATACCCTCAAATCAGTAAAGGCTTACTATTTAATACCATAAAATCAGTAAAGGGTCACTATTTAATACCATAAAATCAGTAAAGGGTCAGTATTTAATACCATAAAATCAGTAAAGGCTTACTATTTAATACCCTCAAATCAGTAAAGGCTCACTATTTAATACCATCAAATCAGTAAAGGCTTACTATTTGATACCCTCAAATCAGTAAAGGCTCACTATTTGATACCCTCAAATCAGTAAAGGCTTACTATTTAATACCATAAAATCAGTAAAGGGTCACTATTTAATACCATAAAATCAATAAAGGCTTACTATTTAATACCCTCAAATCAGTAATGGCTCACTATTTAATACCATAAAATCAGTAAAGGCTTACTATTTAAAACCCTCAAATCAGTAAAGGCTCACTATTTGATACCCTCAAATCAGTAAAAGCTCACTATTTAATACCATAAAATCAGTAAAGGCTCACTATTTAATACCATCAAATCAGTAAAGGCTTACTATTTGATACCCTCAAATCAGTAATGGCTCACTATTTAATACCATAAAATCAGTAAAGGCTTACTATTTGATACCCTCAAATCAGTAAAGGCTCACTATTTGATACCCTCAAATCAGTAAAGGCTTACTATTTAATACCATAAAATCAATAAAGGGTCACTATTAAATACCATAAAATCAGTAAAGGCTTACTATTTAATACCATAAAATCAGTAAAGGCTTACTATTTAATACCATCAAATCAGTAAAAGCTTACTATTTAATACCATCAAATCAGTAAAGGGTCACTATTTAATACCATAAAATCAGTAAAGGGTCACTATTTAATACCATAAAATCAGTAAAGGCTTACTATTTAATACCATAAAATCAGTAAAGGCTTACTATTTAATACCATCAAATCAGTAAAGGGTCACTATTTAATACCATCAAATCAGTAAAGGCTTACTATTTAATACCATCAAATCAGTAAAGGCTTACTACTTAATACCATAAAATCAGTAAAGGCTTACTATTTAATACCATCAAATCAGTAAAGGCTTACTATTTAATACCATAAAATCAGTAAAGGCTTACTATTTAATACCATAATTTCAGTAAAGGCTTACTATTTAATACCATCAAATCAGTAAGGGCTCACTATTTAATACCATAAAATCAGTAAAGGCTTACTATTTAATACCATAAAATCAGTAAAGGCTTACTATTTAATACCATAAAATCAGTAAAGGCTTACTATTTAATACCATCAAATCAGTAAAGAGTCACTATTTAATACCATAAAATCAGTAAAGGCTTACTACTTAATACCAAAAAATCAGTAAAGGCTTACTATTTAATACCATCAAATCAGTAAAGGCTTACTATTTAATACCATAAAATTAGTAAAGGCTTACTATTTAATACCATAAAATCAGTAAGGGCTCACTATTTAATACCATAAAATCAGTAAAGGCTTACTATTTAATACCATCAAATCAGTAAGGGCTCACTATTTCATACCATCAAATCAGTAAAGGCTTACTATTTAATACCATAAAATCAGTAAGGGCTCACTATTTAATACCATAAAATCAGTAAGGGCTCACTATTTAATATCATAAAATCAGTAAAGGCTTACTATTTAATACCATCAAATCAGTAAGGGCTCACTATTTCATACCATCAAATCAGTAAAGGCTTACTATTTAATACCATAAAATCAGTAAAGGCTTACTATTTGATACCATAAAATCAGTAAAGGCTCACTATTTAATACCATAAAATCAGTAAGGGCTCGCTATTTAATACCCTCAAATCAGTAAGGGCAAGTACTATTTTATACCATCAAATCAATAAAGGCTCACTATTTAATACCAACAAATCAGTAAAGGCTTACTATTTAATACCATAAAATCAGTAAAGGCTTACTATTTAATACCATAAAATTTAATCAGTAAAGGCTTACTATTTAATACCATAAAATCAGTAAAGGCTTACTATTTAATACCATAAAATCAGTGAAGGCTCACTATTTAATACCATAAAATCAGTAAAGGCTCACTATTTAATACCATAAAATCAGTAAAGGCTTACTATTTAATACCATAAAATCAGTAAAGGCTTACTATTTAATACCATAAAATCAGCAAGGGCTCACTATTTAATACCATAAAATTAGTAAAGGTTTACTATTTAATACCATAAAATCAGTAAGGGCTCACTATTTAATACCATAAAATCAGTAAAGGCTTACTATTTAATACCATCAAATCAGTAAGGGCTCACTATTTCATACCATCAAATCAGTAAAGGCTTACTATTTAATACCATAAAATCAGTAAGGGCTCACTATTTAATACCATAAAATCAGTAAAGACTTACTATTTAATACCATAAAATCAGTAAAGGCTTACTATTTAATACCATAAAATCAGTAAAGGCTTACTATTTAATACCATAAAATCAGTAAAGGCTTACTATAATACCATAAAATCAGTAAGGGCTCACTATTTAATACCATAAAATCAGTAAAGGCTTACTATTTGATACCATAAAATCAGTAAAGGCTCACTATTTAATACCATAAAATCAGTAAGGGCTCGCTATTTAATACCCTCAAATCAGTAAGGGCAAGTACTATTTTATAACATCAAATCAATAAAGGCTCACTATTTAATACCAACAAATCAGTAAAGGCTTACTATTTAATACCATCAAATCAGTAAAGGCTTACTATTTAATACCATCAAATCAGTAAAGGCTTACTATTTAATACCATAAAATCAGTAAGGGCTCACTATTTAATACCATCAAATCAGTAAAGGCTTACTATTTAATACCATAAAATCAGTAAAGGCTTACTATTTAATACCATAAAATCAGTAAGGGCTCACTATTTAATACCATCAAATCAGTAAAGGGTCACTATTTAATACCATAAAATCAGTAAAGGGTCACTATTTAATACCATAAAATCAGTAAAGGCTTACTATTTAATACCATAAAATCAGTAAAGGCTTACTATTTAATACCATCAAATCAGTAAAGGCTTACTATTTAATACCATCAAATCAGTAAAGGCTTACTACTTAATACCATAAAATCAGTAAAGGCTTACTATTTAATACCATCAAATCAGTAAAGGCTTACTATTTAATACCATAAAATCAGTAAAGGCTTACTATTTAATACCATAAAATCAGTAAAGGCTTACTATTTAATACCATCAAATCAGTAAGGGCTCACTATTTAATACCATAAAATCAGTAAAGGCTTACTATTTAATACCATAAAATCAGTAAAGGCTTACTATTTAATACCATAAAATTAGTAAAGGCTTACTATTTAATACCATCAAATCAGTAAAGAGTCACTATTTAATACCATAAAATCAGTATTAAGGCTTACTACTTAATACCAAAAAATCAGTAAAGGTTTACTATTTAATACCATCAAATCAGTAAAGGCTTACTATTTAATACCATAAAATCAGTAAAGGCTTACTATTTAATACCATAAAATCAGTAAAGGCTTACTATTTGATACCATAAAATCAGTAAAGGCTCACTATTGAATACCATAAAATCAGTAAGGGCTCGCTATTTAATACCCTCAAATCAGTAAAGGCAAGTACTATTTAATACCATCAAATCAGTAAAGGGTCACTATTTAATACCATAAAATCAGTAAAGGGTCACTATTTAATACCATAAAATCAGTAAAGGCTTACTATTTAATACCATAAAATCAGTAAAGGCTTACTATTTAATACCATCAAATCAGTAAAGGCTTACTATTTAATACCATCAAATCAGTAAAGGCTTACTACTTAATACCATAAAATCAGTAAAGGCTTACTATTTAATACCATCAAATCAGTAAAGGCTTACTATTTAATACCATAAAATCAGTAAAGGCTTACTATTTAATACCATAAAATCAGTAAAGGCTTACTATTTAATACCATCAAATCAGTAAGGGCTCACTATTTAATACCATAAAATCAGTAAAGGCTTACTATTTAATACCATAAAATCAGTAAAGGCTTACTATTTAATACCATAAAATTAGTAAAGGCTTACTATTTAATACCATCAAATCAGTAAAGAGTCACTATTTAATACCATAAAATCAGTATTAAGGCTTACTACTTAATACCAAAAAATCAGTAAAGGCTTACTATTTAATACCATCAAATCAGTAAAGGCTTACTATTTAATACCATAAAATCAGTAAAGGCTTACTATTTAATACCATAAAATCAGTAAAGGCTTACTATTTGATACCATAAAATCAGTAAAGGCTCACTATTGAATACCATAAAATCAGTAAGGGCTCGCTATTTAATACCCTCAAATCAGTAAAGGCAAGTACTATTTAATACCATCAAATCAGTAAAGGGTCACTATTTAATACCATAAAATCAGTAAAGGGTCACTATTTAATACCATAAAATCAGTAAAGGCTTACTATTTAATACCATAAAATCAGTAAAGGCTTACTATTTAATACCATCAAATCAGTAAAGGCTTACTATTTAATACCATCAAATCAGTAAAGGCTTACTATTTAATACCATAAAATCAGTAAAGGCTTACTATTTAATACCATCAAATCAGTAAAGGCTTACTATTTAATACCATAAAATCAGTAAAGGCTTACTATTTAATACCATAATTTCAGTAAAGGCTTACTATTTAATACCATCAAATCAGTAAGGGCTCACTATTTAATACCATAAAATCAGTAAAGACTTACTATTTAATACCATAAAATCAGTAAAGGCTTACTATTTAATACCATAAAATCAGTAAAGGCTTACTATTTAATACCATCAAATCAGTAAAGGCTTACTATTTAATACCATCAAATCAGTAAAGAGTCACTATTTAATACCATAAAATCAGTAAAGGCTTACTACTTAATACCAAAAAATCAGTAAAGGCTTACTATTTAATACCATCAAATCAGTAAAGGCTTACTATTTAATACCATAAAATCAGTAAAGGCTTACTATTTAATACCATAAAATCAGTAAGGGCTCACTATTTAATACCATAAAATCAGTAAAGGCTTACTATTTAATACCATCAAATCAGTAAGGGCTCACTATTTCATACCATCAAATCAGTAAAGGCTTACTATTTAATACCATAAAATCAGTAAGGGCTCACTATTTAATACCATAAAATCAGTAAAGGGTTACTATTTAATACCATAAAATCAGTAAAGGCTTACTATTTAATACCATAAAATCAGTAAAGGCTTACTATTTAATACCATAAAATCAGTAAAGGCTTACTATTATACCATAAAATCAGTAAGGGCTCACTATTTAATACCATAAAATCAGTAAAGGCTTACTATTTGATACCATAAAATCAGTAAAGGCTCACTATTTAATACCATAAAATCAGTAAGGGCTCGCTATTTAATACCCTCAAATCAGTAAAGGCAAGTACTATTTTATACCATCAAATCAATAAAGGCTCACTATTTAATACCAACAAATCAGTAAAGGCTTACTATTTAATACCATCAAATCAGTAAAGGCTTACTATTTAATACCATAAAATTTAATCAGTAAAGGCTTACTATTTAATACCATAAAATCAGTAAAGGCTTACTATTTAATACCATAAAATCAGTGAAGGCTCACTATTTAATACCATAAAATCAGTAAAGGCTCACTATTTAATACCATAAAATCAGTAAAGGCTTACTATTTAATACCATAAAATCAGTAAAGGCTTACTATTTAATACCATAAAATCAGCAAGGGCTCACTATTTAATACCATAAAATCAGTAAAGGCTTACTATTTAAGAAAAATCAACAATAAACTATTACAGGTTAGATGTTTACCTGAGTTCTATATCTTTCGATAGCAACTCCATCTATAAATCTGATTAGCAAGTCATTCTGTATTCCACCAGTACTTGTGATCCTGGTTGCAGCTTTCAACATGTTTTATGGGCCCAACACTCAGCTTTCACAGTTTATGACTTCTGGCCTCCTTGCGATGTCATAGCAGGTAGACCATTTCTTGTTGTCGCGGGCTAACCAGATTGTATAGGAACATCGAAGAGCGACCAAAGCAGCCTCATTCAGGGCTTTATTCTTCGTTCTCTTCGCCAATCCAAAGTAGTTGAATAGAGCTGGTACAGTATGGTGCCAGAAGCCCCTACACCCAATCTCTACCGTAAAGAGCAGAGCTTTCCAACCGCACCCGTCGATGCCAGGAATCAGCTCTCTGTTGTAGCGTGCTTCTTTACGTGCTACTTGGTCACTGAAGTTACTCTCGTCACCACAAGTCAGTTCAATCAGAACTACTTCTCTCAAACTATCCGACCATACTACAATGTCGGGTCTCTCCGCTGTGTTGTAGATGTGCTGTGGGAACTGGGCAGGTAGTGTGTCCTCGTCCCATATCAGCTTCCAGTCTTTCGCTCTCTCAAAGGGCCTCTCCTTCCTCAGCTTTGGCTTTGGGTGTTCATACTTCCCATCCTTCGACTTGAACCGTATCCATTCTTTGTCGGAGGTCGTGGAACCTGAGGAATTGTACATCTTGAGTTGGTCAATCAAGGCTCCGGCTATAACACGTAGGACGTTGTCATGTCTCCAGTTGTACCTTTTGGAGTTTCTTGCTATACTGCAGACGGCTAGGATGTGCTTGATGTTGCACGTCTTCCAACCACAAAGTGCACAATTTCCTGTACTCGAGTAGTTCCACAATTTCATGTTTGCAGGGGTATTAGCCACGTCGTGTGTCGAGTTTAGGTGGAATTTAAGGAGAGCCGGGCTCATCTTGTAGTTGTAGATAAGGCTGTTCCATCCTAAGTCTAACTGCATCGTGTTCTCCCATGTCAAGAACTTGCCCTGTACTCCCTTGTTTACCAGGGTGACTAGCATGTCGTTCTCTGACACCGATTCTACCAGTTGTCTTAGCTTCTGCCTCTCAGTCAACTTTGGTTTGCATCCGAGTCCTACTCGGTCTTTAGTCACTACTCCAACCAACTCCTGGAAGTAGAGATCTCGCTCTCTTGCCGTCAGCTCCGTTGTATAAGACCATCTCGGGCTGTTCTCCTGTTTCTCTCTCTTGTTATTATAGGCTTCTACAACTTTGGTGTCATCACTGTTCTTCAGGGCGTGTCCCTTTGATACCTGAAGAGACTTGTATAAGTCACTTAGCTTCTTCAAGTTTAGCCTGAAGTAATCCTTGCTCCTGTACAGGACTGTCACAGTAATTGATCTAGTAACACCCAACCACTTCTTCAAGAATCTGGTGCAGATAGCATCCAGTTCGTACACAAAACTTACAGGAAGGTTGTAAATCATCAGATCCCAGGACATCTTGCTAGTCAGCATGTTATTGTAGATCCAACACTTCATGACACCGTTGAGACCACACTCATCCACTGTCTGAAACAGAGTTTTTAGTTTGTCTTCAATCCGTTGTTTAGTGTCATTTAACCCTAGATCGACATAGATCCAGTGGCCCAGGAACTTAATCGGGTTGTTTCCTACATAGCTGATTATCTGGCCGTCAATCAATATCTCTGGGTCATAAGCCTGGTACGTACCATCTATCACCTTCATTCCCAGGGAGACACACTTGCTAGGCTTGGCCTTCATTTTCCTACTCCAATCCAAAAACTGCTCCATCAACTCTATCTGCTTCTTTACCTTCTCTAGTCTGGAGGACATAAAATCAGTAAAGGCTTACTATTTAATACCATAAAATCAGTAAAGGCTTACTATTTGATACCATAAAATCAGTAAAGGCTCACTATTTAATACCATAAAATCAGTAAGGGCTCGCTATTTAATACCCTCAAATCAGTAAAGGCAAGTACTATTTTATACCATCAAATCAATAAAGGCTCACTATTTAATACCAACAAATCAGTAAAGGCTTACTATTTAATACCATAAAATCAGTAAAGGCTTACTATTTAATACCATAAAATTTAATCAGTAAAGGCTTACTATTTAATACCATAAAATCAGTGAAGGCTCACTATTTAATACCATAAAATCAGTGAAGGCTCACTATTTAATACCATAAAATCAGTAAAGGCTCACTATTTAATACCATAAAATCAGTAAAGGCTTACTATTTAATACCATAAAATCAGTAAAGGCTTACTATTTAATACCATAAAATCAGCAAGGGCTCACTATTTAATACCATAAAATCAGTAAAGGCTTACTATTTAATACCATAAAATCAGTAAAGGCTTACTATTTAATACCATAAAATCAGTAAAGGCTTACTATTTAATACCATCAAATCAGTAAAGGCTTACTAGATGTCACGGCAAGGTAAACTAACACACCACATGTCAGGTATACACAGGTTATATCAGATGTCACGGCAAGGTAAACTAACACACCACATGTCAGGTATACACAGGTTGTATCAGATGTCACGGCAAGGTAAACTAACACACCACATGTCAGGTATACACAGGTTGTATCAGATGTCACGGCAAGGTAAACTAACACACCACATGTCAGGTATACAGAGGTTATATCAGATGTCACGGCAAGGTAAACTAACACACCACATGTCAGGTATACACAGGTTGTATCAGATGTCACGGCAAGGTAAACTAACACACCACATGTCAGGTATACACAGGTTGTATCAGATGTCAAGGCAAGGTAAACTAACACACCACATGTCAGGTATACACAGGTTATACCAGATGTCACGGCAAGGTAAACTAACACACTACATGTCAGGTATACACAGGTTATATCAGATGTCACGGCAAGGTAAACTAACACACCACATGTCAGGTATACACAGGTTATATCAGATGTCACGGCAAGGTAAACTAACACACCACATGTCAGGTATACACAGGTTATATCAGATGTCACGGCAAGGTAAACTAACACACCACATGTCAGGTATACACAGGTTATATCAGATGTCACGGCAAGGTAAACTAACACACCACATGTCAGGTATACACAGGTTATATCAGATGTCACGGCAAGGTAAACTAACACACCACATGTCAGGTATACACAGGTTATATCAGATGTCACGGCAAGGTAAACTAACACACTACATGTCAGGTATACACAGGTTATATCAGATGTCACGGCAAGGTAAACTAACACACCACATGTCAGGTATACACAGGTTATATCAGATGTCACGGCAAGGTAAACTAACACACCACATGTCAGGTATACCCAGGTTATATCAGATGTCACGGCAAGGTAAACTAACACACTACATGTCAGGTATACACAGGTTATATCAGATGTCACGGCAAGGTAAACTAACACACTACATGTCAGGTATACACAGGTTATATCAGATGTCACGGCAAGGTAAACTAACACACCACATGTCAGGTATACACAGGTTATATCAGATGTCACGGCAAGGTAAACTAACACACCACATGTCAGGTATACACAGGTTGTATCAGATGTCACGGCAAGGGAAACTCCCTGCTCCAGTTATGAATGTTAACGACAGTGTGACTAAAACTAAGTTTGATAACTTCTACGCAAGTAGAGAAAGTGTCACTGACGCCATTAAACGGTAATTAAAGAGTATTTAAACATAGTACCTTCAGCTTACAGTATATAATTATGTTTTTTAAACGTTTAGTTAACATTTACCTAACACTCAGCTTATATGACTTGATGGGCACCCTTGTCAAACTATATACTCTGAGGAGTAGTTACTTACTAATTATATACTCTGACGAGTAGTTACCTACTAATTATATTCTCTGACGAGTAGTTACTTACTAATTATATACTCTGACGAGTAGTTACTTACTAATTATATACTATGAGGAGTAGTTACTTACTAATTATATACTCTGACGAGTAGTTACTTACTAATTATATACTATGAGGAGTAGTTACTTACTAATTATATACTCTGACGAGTAGTTACTTACTAATTATATACTCTGACGAGTAGTTACTTACTAATTATATACTCTGACGAGTAGTTACTTACTAATTATATACTCTGACGAGTAGTTACTTACTAATTATATACTCTGACGAGTAGTTACTTACTAATTATATACTCTGACGAGTAGTTACTTACTAATTATATACTCTGACGAGTAGTTACTTACTAATTATATACTATGAGGAGTAGTTACTTACTAATTATATACTCTGACGAGTAGTTACTTACTAATTATATACTCTGACGAGTAGTTACTTACTAATTATATACTCTGACGAGTAGTTACTTACTAATTATATACTCTGACGAGTAGTTACTTACTAATTATATACTCTGACGAGTAGTTACTTACTAATTATATACTATGAGGAGTAGTTACTTACTAACTATATACTCTGAGGAGTAGTTACTTACTAATTATATACTCTGACGAGTAGTTACTTACTAATTATATACTCTGACGAGTAGTTACTTACTAGTTACCTACTAATTATATACTATGAGGAGTAGTTACTTACTAATTATATATTCTGACGAGTAGTTACTTACTAATTATATACTCTGAGGAGTAGTTACTTACTAATTAAGTAAGTAACTACTCTGACGAGTAGTAACTTACTAATTATATACTCTGACGAGTAGTAACTTACTAATTATATACTCTGACGAGTAGTTACTTACTGTAAAATTCACCACCCCAGGTCCACGGATTGTATGATAGGCGGTAAGCTGGTTGTTATTTTGGGGTATGGTGAGGTTGGCAAAGGGTGCGCTGCTGCTTTTCAGGTACATTTCAAAAAGATTTTATTATAAAATTATATTATTTTAAAATAAACAAGAATTGTGCCCGTTACAATAGATGGACTTGAAGATATCTTGCAAATAAGTTGGTGCAAATCCTAAAAATGCCTTGTAAGATAGAAGTATGATTTTGAAGACAATCCTTTTCTTAACATCGAACCAGTAAAGATTTAAAAAGTCATCATCAAGATGGTCATGTTTATATTCACCAGTTACAGCTTTTGCTGCAGCATTTTATAGTTACTGAAGCTGACGTAAAAGCTTCTCGCCAATACCAAACTACCAAACCGTAACAGTAATCTAGATATGCCACGACTAGATCACTAGACTGTTAACGATGATCTTAATCTGTTTGGGACTCAGTACTTCAGTAAAAATCTGATTTTTCTGATATTACGTATCGTATGAACAAATTTCTTCTTGAGATTTATGATCTGGTTATCAAATACCAGCTGATTGTCCATAGCCAGTCCAAGGTTCCTAACAGAAGGCACAAACATTACCAAAGTGTGAAGAGCTTTCTCTACCTCACTCACTGAGCACTACTAGGTCTAAAGACTATGAGTTGTGGTTCAGAATCATTAGTGTTGTGGCATTCAATTCTTTAATCTTTATCCTCAAGAAGCAATTTCTCAGTTGGTAGGTTAAGTTTTTGACTTAAGTTGGTAGGATAAGTTATTGGGAAGTTATATCTAATGATGACTGTAAATATAAATTAATTCCACTTTGTCCCAGGGCATTGGTTGTAATGTTATGGTAACGGAGGTGGATCCTATCTGTGCTATACAAGCCGCTATGCAGGTATCCAAACTTTATTATTGACATTCTATACAGTATTTTGTTACATTTTTAACGTGTGTACTGGGTAATAATAACATATTATCTTCTTACTTATAATTCAAAGAATTATTCTGTCTGTCTGTCTGTACGACCGCCCTCGTGCAAATAGATAAGAAATAGGTAGTTGCAAAGTAACCATGGTAACAGTATTCAAAAGCGCACGTGCACGTGCAAAGATTTGCGAGCGACATTTTGATCGGTTTTGTGGTAATTACGTTGTGTTCAGTGCGAGCTACATTTTAATCGGCTGTATCTTCGGTTGTGACGGATATTTTTTGATGTGATAAAAACTGACTACCAAAGAATGCTACTAGCTTCCTCCCTGTGACCACGGGCTTTCTAGTATCTCTACTATAATTCAGAGAATTCTTTTTGTCTGTCTGTACGACCGCCCACGTGCAAATCAAACGAGAAATAGGAAGTTGCGTAGTTACCATGGTAACGAGGATTATTACACGCACGTGCACGTGCAATGATTGTTTTAACGTCATTTTGATCGGTTTTGTTGATATTACGCTGTGTTTAGTACTGAAGCAACATTTAAATCGGCTGTATCTTTGGTTGTGACGGATATTTTTTGACGCGATAAAAACTGACTGCCAAAGAAATAGAAAACTACTAGATTCATCCCTGTTACCACGGGCTTTCTAGTAATTATATAATTCAAAGAATTATTCTGTCTGTCTGTCTGTACGACCGCCCACGTGCAAATTATATGAGAAATTGGAAGTTGCATTGTAACCAATAACCATAGTAACGCTGTTGAAACACGTGCAAAGATTTGCGAGCGACATTTTGATCGACTTTGTAGTAATTACGTTGTGTTTAGTGCGAGCTACATTTTAATCGGCTGTATCTTCGGTTGTGACGGATATTTTTTGATGCGATAAATACTGACTACCATTGGTACCAAAGAATACCATTACTTTTCTCCCTGTGACCACGGGCTTTCTAGTCTTAATTATAATACGAAAGATTATGTCTGTCTGTAGCTGTATGTATGTACGATCGACCACGTGCAAATTAGATGAAAAATAAGAAGTTGCAAAGTAACTATGGTAACGGTGTTGAACGCGCACGTGCAAGTGCAAAGATTTGTGAGCGACATTTTGATCGATTTTGTGGTAATTACGCTGTGATAAGAGTGTCGATTACATTATAAACACCTCCGGGTTAGAATAATCAGCCGGGCGGGCTGGATAGATTATGATAATCCTGGCTCCCGCTTATACTACTGGTCCTACTGTTTCCCTAACACTTGTTCATGATAACAATTTATAATATTTTGTCAGGGGTTCAGGATAGTACGGCTAGAAGACGTGGTACATCATGCTGACATAGTGGTCACGTGCACCGGCAACAAGAACGTGGTTACTAGAGATCACATGAATAAGTAAATATCCTTACACAGATCACATGAATAAGTAAATATCCTTACAGAGATCACATGAATAAGTAAATATCCTTACACAGATCACATGAATAAGTAAATATCCTTACAGAGATCACATGAATAAGTAAATATCCTTACATAGATCACATGAATAAGTAAATATCCTTACACAGATCACATGAATAAGTAAATATCCTTACAGAGATCACATGAATAAGTAAATATCCTTACACAGATCACATGAATAAGGAAATAAGTAAATATCCTTACAGAGATCACATGAATAAGTAAATATCCTTACAGAGATCACATGAATAAGTAAATATCCTTACACAGATCACATGAATAAGTAAATATCCTTACACAGATCACATGAATAAGTAAATATCCTTACACAGATCACATGAATAAGTAAATATCCGCCAAATACCAGGTATCACAATACCTTACACCCGATATAATATCCCCCAAATACCAGGTATCACAATACCTTACACCCGATATAATATCCCCCAAATACCAGGTATCACAATACCTTACACCCGATATAGATATAATATCCCCCAAATACCAGGTATCACAATACCTTACACCCGATATAATATCCCCCAAATACCAGGTATCACAATACCTTACACCCGATATAATATCCCCCAAATACCAGGTATCACAATACCTTACACCCGATATTATATCCCCCAAATACCAGGTATCACAATACCTTACACCCGATATAATATCCCCCAAATACCAGGTATCACAATACCTTACACCCGATATAATATCCCCCAAATACCAGGTATCACAATACCTTACACCCGATATAATATCCCCCAAATACCAGGTATCACAATACCTTACACCCGATATAATATCCCCCAAATACCAGGTATCACAATACCTTACACCCGATATAATATCCCCCAAATACCAGGTGTACCTTCTATCGGTTACGGTCAACGGACGCTGTCCTCCTGCGGTAAGCGGGAAGCCTTCTCGCCTTACCCACATAGTGCAACTCCTGCTAGCTACACTCCAAGACTCCCAAAGTATATACATAATCATAAAAAATAAATATCACCGCAACAGACCTCTGGAGTCTTGAAGCTGTCGAGTGTCGCTACCGGGCTCAGAGCAAACTGACTTCCGTTGTAGTACTTCCGCGGGCAGACATGGGACTTCCGAGCGAGGTCAAAGCCTGGGAGAGTTGTCTCTGTACGGAGACAGGCCTAGGTTGAGTTCCTAGTGTGGGATTTAGTGAAAGTTCCTGATGAAGAATCCTAGGAGGTTACCCAGAAAGGTTGTCCCTATCCAGTCTTGACGACTGTTCCACAAATTTGAAGATATGGTTGAGTTTACTCATCCTCCGTAGGGGTGTACTTTCAGAGGAAGTGCTAAGATGTTTCTGCTTCTCCTGGAAAGTGTTAACATCTTGCATCTCGAAGTTGACGTTGTTCGCCACGTTCTGAAAGTGAGCTAGTGGGCTGTGACCTATCTTGACAGAGGCCATGTTAGCCATCTGATGTGAGTTCCTGTAAAATTAAAGTTCCTGTATTTATATTTGTGAAGGAACATCTCAAGTGGGATTTTCCTTTGTCACTGAGTGTGGCTTGTTTGGGAGGAAGGGTTCTGGTCCTATGGGGATGTTGTTGGATTCGTCCCTTGCGAGTTCGTCCGCTAGTTCGTTACCGTATACTCCTTCATGTCCTGGAACATTTAAGTTCTACTCGATGTGAATACCTAGTGAGTTGAGTTGGTTTGAGATGTTCAGAACGAACCTGGAGTTAAAACTGGTGTTGTTAAGCGCTTTAACAACACCAAGTGCAGCCTGGGAATCTGAGAGGAATTAATGATGGTGATCTTAGGTTATATTACACCTGATATAATAAAATTCTCTCGAAATTTACTTTATAGTTGTTTCTAATAGAGGGGAGTGATACCTATCAGCTGCTTTTGGTCCTATGGAAACATATTGTTACTAGCTGAAGTTATTACCGGTCGAAGGTCAGCGCTAATATGTGTAATTGTATTGTATCTTCTCCTACATTTTTTGGGCAATCACCCTGAAACGTTCAGGATATAATATATTATGTTCTAGGTATAAAAGAGATGAATTTAAAAACTGTTAAGTCAATTTCTAGAGAATTTGTGAGAAGACCCCCTTTATATAATGTTACCAATTCGGCCTTCAGGTACGATATCCCGGCACCCAAGAATATGGAGTGCCGGTATATGGAGTCTAGATGTTTACTTAAAATAATGGGATTCAAGAGTTAAGTTAAAAGTAACTCTCATGTGTATTCTGCAAGTTACAAAATAAAATATCAAAATAATTAACAAGAATCCCTTACCCTTACCCATCCTTCCCACAGACTGAAAAAAGGGTGTATTCTCGCCAATATGGGACATAGTTCAGTTGAGATAGATGTCTCTAGTTTAGCTACCAACGAACTCAGATGGGAGAGAATCAGATCTCAGGTAGAGAAACTATAAACATAGTACAGTACTAATATAAACATCAGCAACATATTTTACGATTGAAGTTTTGTAGATAATGACTAATGAAATAATATGTTATAATCTAAACGTCGCTGTATATTCAAATTTCGTGCTTCTTGACATGGTGGATTTAAATTTTGTGCTATTCTGTTGATTATGTTATTTTATTTTTGTTTTCGTAAACTGTACGAGTGTTACAGTTACAGTTACAGTTACAGTATAAGACAAGTCATAGACACCCTAACCCTAACCCAATCCTCCCTTAGGTACACCACATACATTGGCCGGACGGAAAATACATCGTGTTGTTAGCCAAAGGCGGACTAGCCAATCACAACTGCTCCAGTATACCTAGTTTCGTTATTAGCGTCACTGCAACTACACAAGCACTCGCTCTTATTGAACTCTACAAGGCTCCTCCTACAAGGTTAGTGTTTAATTAATTAAAAATACGCTCATTAGCTAATTAGTATAATTAGCATAATTAGTATAATTAGCATAATTAGTAGTATTATCTATATAGTTACATAGTTTATCTATATAGTTACATAGTATTATCTATATAGTTACATAGTTAACACATAATATAATATGCCCGGTGACTCTGTTTGAACCGCCAACTTCGAATTGTTTCACTGTATCTACTCAGTGCTGTACTATAAAGGGGGGGGGGGTTGACACGTCTGGGGGGGGGGGGGGGGGGGGGGGGTGACACGTCTGGTGGGGGGGGGGTGATACGTCTGGGGGGGGGGTGAAATGTCTGGTGGGGGGGGGGGGGGGTGATACGTCTAGGGTGGGGGTGACACGTCTGGGGGGGGGGGGGGGTGACACGTCTGGGGGGGGGGGGGGGTGACACGTCTGGGGGGGGGGGTTGACACGTCTGGGGGGGGTTGACACGTCTGGGGGGGAGGTTGACACGTCTGGGGGGGAGGTTGACACGTCTGGGGAGGTTGACACGTTTGGGGGGGTTGACACGTCTGGGGGGGAGGTTGACACGTCTGGGGGGGAGGTTGACACGTCTGGGGGGAGGTTGACACGTCTGGGGGGGGGGGGGGGTTGACACGTCTGGGGGGGGGGGGGGTTGACACGTCTGGGGGGGGGGGGGTTGACACGTCTGGGGGGGGGGTGACACGTCTGGGGGGGGGTTGACACGTCTGGGGGGGGGGGGGGTTGACACGTCTGGGGGGGGGGGTTGACACGTCTGGGGGGGGGGGGGGGGTTGACACGTCTGGGGGGGGGGGTTGACACGTCTGGGGGGGGGGGGGGGTTGACACGTCTGGGGGGGGGGGTGACACGTCCCCACTGTAATGATGTCAGTTAGTGCTGCTAGTTTATATATTAGTTTGGAAAGTTTATAATTTACTTTTCTGCGTCCTTTAAAATGATGGAGATTAGGTTGATTAAAATAAAAGGTTATTGTATAATAATTGATTAATTAATTACAGGTATAAGGCGGATGTGTATCTACTGCCCAAGAAAATGGATGAGTATGTTGCACAACTTCACTTGACCGTGTTTAACGCTCACATTACCGAATTAACTCGGGAGCAGGCGGCATTCCTTAACATAAACCGAACCGGGCCTTTCAAGAGTCAACATTACAAGTACTAAATAATTAGTTAATAAACTAATCGACTAATTGATTCATAAACTCGTTGTTGAATATTATAGTATAGTGTCTGTTGAGCAGAACTCAGTTTTATTTTGGTTTTTGAAATATTGGCCCAAATGTTGGATTTACCGATGCTATTTTTAGTGAGCCCTCAATTTTTGTCTTGGATTGGTTATTTATCACTCACATTATTAAATTTATTTTAAGTCACATCATTGTCACGCACTGTTCATTGGATTTTCATGATGCTTTAGAAATCATCAAACGGATAAGTTTTGAAAGGATTGATTAACGATGTAGCATGAATACTCTGCTACTCTAGTAGAATTGATTTTAAGTTATTCGACTAAGTCAATAAGTCGACTCAATTTATTCAGAATCTTTAAGAAATAATAACGGAATTATATATATTTAATAACCTTGATCCCAATAATTTGACAAACCACATAATCATAACACTTATAATATCACTCATCAATATTAAGGGGGCCGGGGGGGGGTCTTCATCAAAATTCTCTCGAAATTGACTTTGTAGTTGTTTCTGATGGAGGGGAGTGATATCTATCAGCTGTTTTTGGTCCCATGGAAAAATATTGTTCCTAGCCGAAAATATTGCCGGTCAAAGGTCAGCGCTTATGTGTAATTGTATTGCGCGAGCGATTTTCAATCGCGCGCCCTGAAAATCGAGTCTAAAAATCTATCTTCTCCTACATTTTTTGAGCAATCACCCTGAAACTTTCAGGATATGTTCTAAGGACCATTTAGAAGAGATTGTCGGGCCAGAATTTTGAGATAGGCCTTAGAAAATTTTTTATTCGATTTTGAAAATCTTGGACCTGAAAAAATCGTCAAAATACGAGGTCAGAAACAACTACAAAGTCAATTTCGAGAGAATTTTGATGAAGACCCCCCCGGCCCCCTTAATATCGCATCTCACATATTAGTCACTCGGAGGGAGTTGTTTTTAACTTGTAATATATATAATAAAATATATGTAATCACTAATGTGCCCATCAATATATTATTTCCCTTAAAATTTGATATCCGATATTTTTCCACATCACCACCGTGAAGATGATTACTTTCTAATTGGTTTAACACATGAAGATAATTACTTTCTAATTGGTTTAACACATGAATAATTACTTTCTAATTGGTTTAACACATGAATAATATGTTTTAGTGGTACCGTGAATAATATTGATGGGGTTTAAAAGATTGTTAAAAGTCGCGATGTAGGACTGAATTGAAAATTGTAAAATATTCAATATTGATTACTAGGTTATTTAAGACTTACTTTAAATGAATCCACAAAAACAAATTAAATCCAGATTAAACAATTCAAAAGTCAAATTAGTATTACAATATTATATATATATTTAATTATATATTCTGTAGCTGTGTAGTATTACAATATATATATTTAATTATATATTCTGTAGCTGTTCTTCTACACATTAATAGTCTGTGTTGATTAGTGCCTCGTAATTCTTTGCATAATATTATTATTTGAGATAAAATTGTTCTAAAGCAACCGAAATATACACAAATCTTAAAAATATCTTACAAACTAGGAAAGGGAAATAAATCGTAGGAACGGCAAACAAAACTTTAGTAATAGTTTGTTCAATTAAGTTACGTTTGTTTGATTAATGAAATTTGTGGCGACCGGACTCAGCGCGATACTCTTCTCATAATAATTTTTTATTAAGATCTTAATTCGTCATGCTCAGGTGCCAAAGTGGCCAGGATTAGAAAGTAATAGATGGGTAAGTGCTCAATACATGAAGCTCATCTGATTGGATCAGGGAAAGGAAGCTCCAGATTTAGTATATTTATATAGTAGTATAGTATTATTATATAGCTCCAGATTTAGTGACTCCTCATCTTTTGTAGAACATCATTTGCATATTTACCTATTCGAAAGTGTATGGCGAGTCATGCTCTGTCTTCCTGTTTCTGAGTTGCGCAAGTTAAATTACAATCGTAAGAATTGCCAAAAACGTAATACATTATTTGTTTTAAAGACCAGAGGGCCACACAAACGTGAAAGTTTTCATCAAATCTGAAATGAATCACATATTAAATTAACAAGTTCAATGTCCATATTTGATTAAAATAGAATTATCCACGATTGAAAACCACGCATTAATGATAAACTATTGCATTAAATAACTCTCCATATTCATCCAGCAAACCTACATATTACTTTGCATTTGCATTAACGCACGACATAAAATATAAATTCTCCTATGAATCAGGTGATCTAATTGGAAAGGGTCTTCTGGGGATAGAATTTGTAACGCGCGAATTGATATTTTGTTTCTTTCTTGCGCGCGCGCCACCGATATACAGTATTTGTAATTATATAAAGTTGAAAGTAAGAGCTGGAATATAATTTATTTGTAGCGCGATGCGTTACTGTGCCGCGCCGAGCTGCCATGAATTGACATCGTCAATTAAATAATTTATTAAATATGATAGGGGTTGTCTGATGTCTCACGTCGTGACCCTCATCGTCATTTCATTTAATAATAAGCAGCGGACCTACAACGTTAAGGTAAGATAGTGGAATCAAATATTAAATCGAAAATTACGGTCACCAAGATGCAGTTAGTCCTATTATATACGGCTCAAAAAAACCAAAGTCACGTGAAATTTTTGGGCGAGCGATTTAGTAAGAGCCAATCCCAATCCTAACCCTAACCGTAACCCCGAAGCTATCCATAATCTTAACCTCAACCCTAAATAATCCAATTCACGTTTTACTAGCCTGTCACGTGACCAAAACGATTTTTTGCCCATACCTCTCCAAGTCCAAGGAAGCATTTTAACCCTACTATACGTCATGGGGAGTGATTCGGAATCAGCGTCCAAAAATACACCGATCAAGATCACTTTCATGCCTAAAAGGGCGTTTTCACAAGAATTATCTTAAAATTTGGGCGAGCGATTTAGTAAGAGCGGTTGGGATTAGGGTTTATATAAAACCGTTTTGTACGGCTGCAAAACCAAAAAAACCAAAGTCACGTGAAATTTTTGGGCGAGCGATTTAGTAAAAGCGATTGTATACGCAGAGTTAGGCTTAACTTTAACGGGTGATACTCGTAAAATATTTGTTCCAACTCGGCGCGCGTCCTGGTAGGTTGTAAACCTACAAGGCCTAACTTTGGCTCCCCTTGTCCCGATAATAGTGTAGTAAAATCGGGAATCTGTATCACATATCATCATCTGCTGTTACTGTTGTAACCTTGTATATATTCGACTGAAATAGTATTATTAAATTTTCAGTTACTTTAAAATAATACATTTTGGTGACCATTTAAATCAAAATTCAGCCTGACTGCATTTTAGTATATATCCTGTCATCACTCCTGGAGTAATGGATATTATATGTTTATTTCAATAAATATAATAATCAATAAAACTGCATCTTGGTGACAGTTACCTGAGGACCTCAGGCTATCATGTTCATAAAATAGAGATTAAAATCAAGAGGCTTGCATATAATGAACATATTGACACGGGTGCAGAGTTGAGTCTGTACGGAACCTAGTAGTTTCAGATCCTTGTTTAACTTGCCGTACAGCAAGGTCATCCACTACTTTAGCCCGGCGAGGCACATAACTCCCTCTACAACTCCATGACAAATGTTTCATATATACTAGCCGAGTTCACAAGAATATATCCTTGTGTTTGAGAAGAGCTCGTTAGAACTGCTTCCTTTCCCTTCAGTATCCCACAGTCTCTCGAGTTTCGTAACTGCCAGAGAACTCTCTTAAACAATTACTAGACTCGGTGATTATAAATCAAGAGGCTTGCATATAATGAACATATTGACACGGGTGCAGAGTTGAGTCTGTACGGAACCTAGTAGTTTCAGATCCTTGTTTAACTTGCCGTACAGCAAGGTCATCCACTACTTTAGCCCGGCGAGGCACATAACTCCCTCTACAACTCCATGACAAATGTTTCATATATACTAGCCGAGTTCACAAGAATATATCCTTGTGTTTGAGAAGAGCTCGTTAGAACTGCTTCCTTTCCCTTCAGTATCCCACAGTCTCTCGAGTTTCGTAACTGCCAGAGAACTCTCTTAAACAATTACTAGACTCGGTGATTATAAATCAAGAGGCTTGCATATAATGAACATATTGACACGGGTGCAGAGTTGAGTCTGTACGGAACCTAGTAGTTTCAGATCCTTGTTTAACTTGCCGTACAGCAAGGTCATCCACTACTTTAGCCCGGCGAGGCACATAACTCCCTCTACAACTCCATGACAAATGTTTCATATATACTAGCCGAGTTCACAAGAATATATCCTTGTGTTTGAGAAGAGCTCGTTAGAACTGCTTCCTTTCCCTTCAGTATCCCACAGTCTCTCGAGTTTCGTAACTGCCAGAGAACTCTCTTAAACAATTACTAGACTCGGTGATTATAAATCAAGAGGCTTGCATATAATGAACATATTGACACGGGTGCAGAGTTGAGTCTGTACGGAACCTAGTAGTTTCAGATCCTTGTTTAACTTGCCGTACAGCAAGGTCATCCACTACTTCCAAGCAGCCAAAGATATGATGATTCAGATAAATTCTATGATACAAACAACCAGGAAGATGTCACCATAGCTAAATTCTCTTCAATACTTGAAGACTGTAAGCGTTACACAAAACAAGAACTAGCAAACTCAATCAGCAAACTTTTTCCTGAGAAAAATAAAAATTCTGCTTATCTGCCCGCTCTGTTTTGCAATATAGATGGGTTTGCTAGTAATTTTGACAGCTTTTTAATAGAACATAAGACCCTCCCGTGTAATTTTGATGTCATTGGATTGGCTGAGACCAACATCGATCCAAGCCAACAAGGCTTATACCAAATCCCCTCCTATACAACATTTTGTCAAGTACCATTCCCTGATAAGAAAAAAGGAACAGGAGTATCCTTATATGTCTCTGATCGCCTGAATGCTGTAGTAATCGAAAATCTATCTCACTGTACAAAAGATATTGAGTGCTTATTTGTTGAAATTACTCTTAG